ATCATTGAGCTTCTTCAGGTACCCCCTGCAAGAGAGAATTCAAGATTAAATGTGAATAATTATAATTGAATTTCTTCAGGAACTCCCTGCAATTTCTTTTTATGGGATGCTGCTTTCTTTTTTATGGGATACAACTTTTTTTTATGGGATACTGATTTTTTTAATGGGATACTATTTTTTTTTAATGGGATACTACTTTTTTTTTATGGGATACTATTTTTTTTTAATGGGATACAACTTTTTTTTAATGGGATACTATTTTTTTTAATGGGATACTAATTTTTTTTATGGGATACTAATTTTTTTTTAATGGGATACAACTTTTTTTAATGGGATACTGATTTTTTTTAATGGGATACTGGTTTTTTTTAATGGGATACTGATTTTTTTTAATGGGATACTGATTTTTTTTAATGGGATACTGATTTTTTTTTAAGGGGATACTACTTTTTATGTGATACAACATTTTTTTATGTAATACTTTTTTTTATGGGATACAACTTTTTTTTTTTTTATGGGATACAATGTGGTTTTGATGTGCTACCCTTGTGTTTTCACCCCTATTTTGGGTCTGACAGAAGAAATCCAAGCTGCTACAATTGAAACCTCCACCACTTTTATTTTTGCTCCCTTTTACTCACTGAATTCCTTCACATTCAAAAATCCACGAAGCAATTGAGGTTTCCCAGTTTTAAAAACGTCCCTCAGCATTGAGGGGTCCCATCCACCAGGAGCTGAACCCCCCCCCTTAAAATCAGCCCAGTCCCCTGAAATTCCAACCTCGGGTGTCACATGGAAAATTCACACAGTGATTAACACACAAAACCACCAAAACAAAAAAACAACAAAAAAATTGATTTTAACTTGTAGGAAATGCAGGCAGAACACGAGGCTGAACTCACAGCAGGTACTGCACGTTGTAGGTCACCTCCTCCTGCTCCCCCTGGGCACCCCAGAGCAGCTGGAATTTCATGTTCAAAGCCACCACACTCAGGTTGGTTGCACAAAGGAGATCTTGCACTGCTCGGGGAGGGGGGAAAAAAAGAAAAGAAAACAAAAAAAATTACCAAAAAAATGTCATGTGATGGATAGGGAACGGACATTTCTCATGGCAATAATGAAAATATGAAGGTTAGTCATGATAAAGATTAATTGATATGTAAATATTAATTGATATGTAAAGCATCCTGTCAAGCCTTGAGCTTAAAAATCAGCTAAAAATTAATTCAGAAAAAAAAAAAAATGCAGAGGAGCAGAAATAAACTGGATTGGTGTGATGGGTGGACTTGGGAAGAAGAAACTCAGAGAGAAATTCTCCCTAAGAGAGTTCCTCTGTGGGGGTCGGGACAATTGGGAATAAAATGAGGAGGAAAAAATTTATAAAATACACATCTGTATTTATTGTACATTTTGTTTTTAATATTAAAATATGAATGTGATTATTTTACTGTTTTATTTAAATAATTAAAACCTGCATGCATCAGTTATTAAGACACACATGTATTAATTATTTTATCATTTTAACAATACACACGTATTTTTAATATTTTTATATTAAAACGTAACTTGAAATATTTTTAAATATCTAATTTAAAAATTAACTATTTAAATAATAATTTCTCTTAGGTTGCAATACAGTGTGTACTCTGTCTTTCAAACCAAGAGATAATTAAACATTTTTAAAGACACAGATGTGTATCATGCATTTTGTGTATAATTTTCATTTACCATCAATGACTTTCATTTTGATCTACCATCAACTAATTATGATGTACCACCCATCCAATCTTCATGTTTGACTTTCTACTGTTATTTTTTTCCTAAAATAAAAACCTAAAAGCAACTGCAGAGCACAGAAAAGAATTTAATTTTCCATAACAAGGTGACAAACTGCCCCCTCAAAGCTTTTCTTCAGTAGCTCTAACAATCAATTCACCAAGGATTTTATAAACCCAGCATTTTTTTAAGCTCAGCTCAACTTTCTGTGCATTCATTGAGTGCCAAGTATCCCAGAGGCTTTGGGTTTTATTCCTCCTCATTCAGTCACTGACTCAAAAATCAAGTTTTCCAAAACACACAAAGGTTTTGTTCCAAATTAATGTCAAAATTCACCTCATGCCAAAAACCCTTTTTTACTCTTCACACTCTAACCTTGACATATTTTCTGTTGGTTGAGAAGGGTAAATCTATATAATATATAGATTTTTTTATATCAAAATGAGGAGGAATTTGGCCCTTCTGCCTATTTCTGTTGCTTCACAACAACTGCCAGCAGAATTCAAGCCATGGTTTGCAGATAACCCTGATTTCCTGGGTACCTTTCTGGGTGGTTTGCACACAGCTGATGGGGCTGAACAAGCCTTTCTTTCCTTCCATGGGGAGATTGGCTTGAACTTTGAAGCAATAGGTGCTGTTTGGGGCCAGGTCATCAATGGTGTCCACAGGGAAAACGATTTTATTCTGGAGCTGCAAGACACAAACAGGAAAGAGCCCGTGAGGGGAACTGTGCTGCCCCATTTTGAAATGATCATTTTGCAGGGTTTCAGGCAATTGTATGATAAACAGAGAAAGTAACACAGTGTTTGAGCTGGAGAAATCCTAAAGGGAAGTTTCCTGTTTAGCCAGGCAGGAATATTTTGGAGGAGTGGGGAGGGATTTGAATTCCCAGGGATTCACCCCACAGATATTCCAAAATGAGTCAGGACATTCCCACCCCTCCAGCACCCAAAACTCCTCCCTCCTCTGTTTTTGCTTTCCCACATTGGTGGTCACTGACCACACACAATTGTATTTATGGGCTTTGCTGTGGAATCCCAAAATCCCAGAGGTGGGAAGAGCCCTTTGGGATCACCCAGGGCCACCCAGCAGCTGCATCCCCCCAAGCCCTGTCCCCAGGGGCCACCTCCAGCCTGCTCTGGGACAATTCCAGTGACCCCAAACCTCCCTGGGCAGCTCAGTCCAGTGCCCGACCCCTCTGGGAGGGAAATTTTATTCTGTTTTTAACCTGAGCCTCCCCTGGAGCACCTTGAGGCCGTTCCCTTTTGTCCTTTCCTCATTCCTGTGCTTCCCCCTCCCTGCCCCTCCTGTTCCTGGACTTGTGCAGAGCCACAAGGTCCCCCCTGAGCCTCCTTTTCTCCAGCCTCAGCCCCTTTCCCATTTCCCTCAGGAATTCTCCATGTCCTTTCCCATTTCCCTCAGGAATTCTCCA